AACATTGTTCTACATTTGCGGTATTTCAACCTAGATGAGTTATATTATTTGTACACCCACCATGAAATTGGACGTCGCACCACGCTATGGATATACAAATTTGACCGTCGTGGGTTACGTGAGTTTCAGCTTGGTTTTTCAGGAACTACTGAAAATAAAACTATGGTAAGATACGGATTTGAAGTGATGTAGGCTTAATGCCATTTGGCCAACAATGCAATGCATGACGGACAAGAGGCCAAGCAAAACCATTCCACTCATCATATGCCTCAACAGAAACTATATTAATTATGATAAACGGGCAGGACAGAAACGGGTGCAGAGCACCTTAAGCCGTTTAACGCGAGAACCGCGTTCCGCTCATAAACTAATCTGGAATGAACAAATGTAGAATAAATTATTCGGATGGTGCAGAAGAGGTGGTTACACATAACATGATGGCTTATGCCAGCAACAAAATCTTCAGAACTGAGACTGTAACTGACTTAATGGCAATCAGGCTCATAGGACTCATAGGAAACTTCTTAGATAAAGATAAGCATTAGCACATCAATCATAGGTACACTAAAAGTATAGCGGTGTAATGAAAGTGGAAGTGAAAAAAGTGAAAAAATAAACGGGATGTTTTATGACACACGCGACAAATTACGAGATTCTACATGCCAATCGATGAAGGACAAAAGTGGTCGCATGCATGCTCTTACGTATGAACGACTAGGCTACCGGTAACTTCCCGTATAAGAAAGCAAGTTATACTAACATTTTGGATTCTTCGTAGTTAACGGATATATTTTCGTTTACCATAGTTTGTATTCGCACGACTTCTCTCCCAGTTTCTCCCGTAACTCAGACGTGTTAGATGAACGCGTAGAGGATCTTCTGCAAAGATATACAGAACATTTTCACAAAAGAGAAAAAGATCCAAGTATTTTTCGACATAATTCTAGTGGACAGAGTGTCTTCAGGTAATTCTTCGTATTTTTGTTGAGCAAACGCGAGGTGTTATTATTCTTTATTCACGAATAAGCTGACGTTTCGGCGGATTTCACCTTCCTCAGAGCCGCTTTCTATGAGGTTTCCATTAAGTATGTCACGTAGAGACCAACCGCACAGAAATCACATGAAAGTGTAATGTCGTATAACACTATTATAACATGTCGTATAACATTATACTTCCATGTGATTTCTGTGCGGTTGGTCTCTACGTGACATACTTAATGGAAACCTCATAGAAAGCGGTGCGTGTGCGAAGCTGTGTTCAATGTGATTGAAATCTTGGTTTGGAGTTTCTTTGTTTGGTTATGGAGGCGTCTGGCCGAGTAGATTGCTCTCAACTTGACCTTTCCAGGCTCTGAGGAAGGCGAAATCCGCCGAAACGTCAGCTTAATCGTGAACAAAGAATGATAACACCTCGCGTTTGCTCAACAAAAATACGAAGAATTACTGGATCAATGCCGAGGTTAATAGAAAGTCGGTTGTGGGAGAGTGTCTTCATATTCACTTGTCCTAGAAGGAATTCCACTATAAAAAAGGAGACGCCAAGATGGCAGTTATAAAGAATCAACGGAATCCGACTCAGGATCTGTAGCTCATCATGCTATGTATGTAGCCAAAAAATGGAGCAGCTAATGCAACAAATACTCTAATTCGACTGTCTGATTAGAGTTTTTCAATACTTGGATCCTTAGATGGCTCATCTTCATTGGTTGTGCAGGCCCAAGCACAACTCTCGTTTTCTCGGAGTATTGGTGGTTTACCCATTATGGTTCCCTGGAGTCCCAGGGTTACCCAGGGCAAGCTCTGCCCCAGGTCGTCAAAAACAGAGGGTTCGACGTCCTTGTGGACCAGAGGAAGATTTGCACCATGCAACTAGTTTGATAGCAGAACGGTGGTGAATCCTGGTATTGGTTAACTCCTAGCTGGGCCTCCTTATGGAAACGCCGAACTCCTCAGTTTGGGAAACTCTGATGGGGTGGGGGATGAGTCTCTCCGCTGTACATCGTACAGCTCGACACCAAGGACACATTAGGCCACGATGAGGCGGTAAACCGTTGGAAGAATTTTTTCAACAGTATCTGCAAAATGTGAAATTTGAAAAAGTAAAGTAGTGGTGGTACCCTCCTAACGGTTTACCGCCTCATCGTGGCTAGGAGTTGTTCCTGGGTGTCGGGCTGCGATGTACAGCGGGGAATTCACCCCCCCCCCCCCCCCCCCCCCCCCCCCCCTGCTGAGCTAAGAAGGAGTCCTGCGCTGCTATCAAGAAACAAAGCTAGGAATAAACCGATTTCAGGATCCACCGCCGTCCTGGTGTCAAACTAGTTGCATGGTGACAAATCTCCCTCTGATCCACAAGGCCCGCGACTGCTTGTGGTGGTGACGACCTAGGACAGACTTTGGCCTAGCTGACCCCTGGACTGCAGAAAACCACAATGGCTAAACCGGCAATACTCCAAAACAATGGGAATTATGCTGGCAGCCGCACAACCAGTGAAGACGGGCCATCCAAGTATCCAAGTACCCAGGGAAGTAAAGCTACCACGATGGAGCAAACTACAAGTGAAGTTTGCAAATTCTAAAGCACGAGAATTGTAATGATTATACTTGCACGTGAACTACAAAAAATGTATAGGTACGATTGTGAGTTATAAAAGATATTTAGCAAGCGGAAGAGTAGGAGCACGAAGAGTAAAAGAAGAGTAGAAGGGTAGTGTCCGGCGCGTTGGTCAGCCCTTTAGGGAATGCCCCACGTATTCCGATCGACTGTCCAAGTAAGTGAATGCATGTTTAGCCTACATAATGAATTGGAGACTAGAATGACTTAACAACACTATGCAAAAGTCTATACGTAAACGTGGATATAAAATCTTAAGTATTTCAGTTCAACGTACGGTAGTGCAGAAGTGGTGAGTTGTGCATGTGGAGCGCACACATTATTTCGAAATTCATGTATCCCTGTAATTACTATTTGAGTTCTTATTCGTGCTTACATCGTTAACATCTATGCAATGCTATTGTTTCAGGGGATTCCTTAAAGTGATTCGGACGAACTTCGTTGAAGTTGGCACTCATCTCCACGCGGAGTATCGCGACCTTTTCGTCTTACCAAACTGAACCCGTATTTCACTAGCTGTGGACTAGTGCCTTCTACATTGCCCAGGATAGATATTGTGGGCGAGTTATAGACATTAGTGTTCCTAATATTGCTACTGTTTGGTAACAATATGCTGTTTTTTCTTCAGGAGAAAAACTCGAGGTGTTCTTTATGAGTGTTCGATCAGAAGTATTGCAACCAATATTATGCTTTTCTTTCGCTCTTTTCTTTATTTTAACCTTTTTGTTAACTGACTACTATAATCTTCTACGGCAGGGTATGATGAAATACAATCACAATGATACTAAGATATTCGCAAAACTTGAACCCCGAGCCAGGTCGAACTTCGGCTACTAGTTTTCTACCTAGCGCTGCCATCATTATGTTTTTGGACTTTAGGAATGTTAACGGATTCTGCACCTCAAACTCTCTTACTCAATGAAATGGCCACGTCACCGTTTTCCTCATTGAGCAGGAGGTAATTCGGCCTACCACTTTCTTAAGCTTAGGCTTCGGCGTTTTAACAACACGTTTGCTGAACAAATTGGTGTTTTATCTGTTGAATATAAGGAAATTCAGGTCCACTTTCGATGAAGATGCGTTTTTCTCGCCAGTTAGGTCGAAACCTGAACCGCAGGGAACTCGTGGGGTCTTGAGTTCACAACAGACACATATGCTACCTACTGTCCACGACAACGTTTTGCAGTGGTTTTACGGTTTGGTTAGTGTTTGAAGCCTTTGTCATGTTATGGAGAACTTCGCACCGCAGGTGCCTGCGGTGGGGAACTAACGCGCTATTACCCTTTCCGGGGGCTAACGCGTTCACCACCACACCATGCGGTTTCTTTGTCTTGCCTTTCTCTCAGTTAGTTTTCTAGTCGTTAACAACTTCCAGATCTTTACCCGTCGGTTGAGGGCTTCATTTTGTGTAGGAGCTGTCTGTGCTGTCACATTTTCAGTATCGCTCCTTGTTCTGCAGTTCTCTCTGAGGTCGCCCCTAAGATTCCTTAGTGGTACGTTCTGCAATTTGTATGAGTCTGGTTGGACATTAAATGACCTCTATGTTCTTTAAGATGCCTTCTCCACTTTCTTTGCGGCTTCAACTTTTATCTCAACCGTGGGTGTCACATTAGTTTCCTTCATTATGTGTTTAGCCGTATTGAATGTGCTAACGAAAGGTAGGTTAATAGGTAATTGATGATGAATTTGTTGTTTTGCAGTTTCGAATAATTTTTTTTGGTCTTGTCTTCTGATTTAAGCTGAGCAGCTTGTAATATTGGAATGGACTAGGTCAGAAACGTGGCTAGGGTTCGCCGCTGTTTTACTCTACAACGCCCTATACAGCTTTCTTATTTTTACATTGTTAGGATATTCTTTAAGTGAGAAGTAAGTTCTTTCAATGTTAACTTCTTATTTACTGCCTGTTACAATTTTTCATGGCGGGGTATAATGATAGAACCACAATGATGGTGAAGTATTTGCAAAACTCCGGGATGAAGATGATTGTTGTGCGGAACGAACGCGCTATCGCCCTTTGCGGGACTAACGTGTTCACCATCACATTGTGCAGGTCCTGAGTTTCGTCCTTCTCTCAGTTATTTAATTTGATTAGTCCCCATATAATTCCCGTTGAACGGTGATTGTTGATGGCACTGGTAGGTAGAAAACTAGCTGAGACAAAGGCGGAACGAATGACCTGCATGGTATGGTGATGAACGCATTATCCCCCGGAAAGTGTAATAGACACCTGCGGTCCGGAGTTTTGCAAACATCTCAGCATCATTGTAAGTTCTTTCAGTTTTTCCATATCTTCCCTAATGTCACGGTGAAACTGTTATCAAGGAAATTCGGATGGAGCTGAATTTTATTCATGGTCTCTCATATCTTCAGGCCTCTTTTCGAAGTGGTCATGTTCTCCACAATCATATCCGCGCTTTCTTCGATTTTCCGTAATGATTTTCAGATGAACTTTTCTGGGAACGTTACACAGGTAGGTGATTTTAGTAGTTCCTTAATTTTTGTTTTTATAAGCACAAGTTATTCTAGTTAGGGCTGATGCACACGATTTTGGGGTTCCTTTCACTCGGCCGGGAATCCATGTTAGTCTCTGCTTTTCGGGATGCTGCTCGCATTGTGGCAATAACGGCTGCTGCTAGCTCTGTGACAGGTGAGTTGATTTTCCATTTCTCCGATAGAATATGATTTATACACCAAATGGCATTAAATATGTTTGTAAATATGCCTCATTCTTTCCCATCTACCACACTACGGTCAGCTGCTATTGGTATTAGTACAATATATTTCGATGTATTAACACATAGAACATCGCACCTAGTTTTCTCCACTATACCAAGAGTCACACTTGGGTCATATCGGCTGAAGCACCGCGAACTACACGTGCTTTCCTCAGAAACTGTGTGCTACGCCGTTGGTACAAAAGGCCCGTAGGACCCATGCCGAATGCTGCACGTTCTGGTATCCTTATATTTGGTAGTCGCTTACTCCTGCCTTAATAACAACGGTATCTGTGATAATCTCAGGATTCACATCGTACAGATGAATTCCTATGAGAAACTATTCTTTTGTAATTTATTAGATATGTTCATTAAGTGGAGAGTAGCTTTTTCTTGGCCGACGTTATCGTTTCCTTTTTTTAACAAAAGAAGAAGAATGTATTATTGACTAGAATAATTCTATGTGATGCCTCTGGGAAGGACTATATGAAGACACGGATGGATAGATCATTTCATGTGTTTCCATTTCGAAAGCTTCGTTGGCAATGGTTGATTGATTTCTTGTGGATACGTCAACGTAGGGGATCTTCAACAATTAATGGTTGTAGATTAAATGTTATAGATGATAGATGGTAGTGAATAGTCTAGGTGAGACAGTGTCTTGTAACTCAGTTTGTTTGACGTAAATATTATGGTCCAGAAGTATCTAGTGGGTCCAACGTGTAACAGCACAGTTTCGAGGAAAGCGAAATCGTCGAAACAGTCATTGACCAACAACAACAACAACGACGTCGACGACAACTTGTACCAGCCTCATACTAGCTCAACAGATCAGTTCATATTTAGTGGTTGTCGCGCAACTGAATTCGTTGGTATGTAACGGTCGCAGAAATCTCCATTTATTAGCTCATTCTGTCGTCTTCTTGGGATTACCCATTGCTGCGGTGTCATGGCCTGGATTTAAGAAATTTTAATGCATATTCATTTATGGGATCAAGAAATTTCACGATAATCTCCTTTTGGTGTTGCTTCGGTCTCTGAAGGTGTTTATGAGGTTCATTTCAGTTCAGTCACTATGCCGAACATAGTCATTCTTCTTTCATTTCTAATATGTGATGCTTATCGTTGGTAAAGGATCCCTTTTTCATCGTACATCATTATGGGATCGAGAAGTCGACCATCTTGTCGAGTAAATCAAGTCCTGATCAACCATCACAGTGGTTGTTTCTTCATTGAGATAGTGTCGCACCGTTTTATTGAGATGCCTATTTCCACAATTTTCTGAATGGTGTTTCTTTGGCGCGTGTGGCGCAACGGTTGGAGGGGCCCTGCAGCACACATGGGATCGATCCGGCGCCCCTGGCCCACTAAGCACTCCATCCCCCTAGAGTTGGAATATTGGTATTGGGCCTGTCTGGGAGGATAAAAGCACTAGATCGATACATCGGTAGGCCACCGCGAGTGCTTATATAGGCCAAAGATGCATTCAATCGCCTCTAGCGATGATTAATGAAGTCGAATGCATGGCGCATCCCTCATGGATTGATCAAGATGGACAGCGTTAGCTTTTATCTTTTTAAGCGTTTCTTGTCAAGTTAACTTCGAGTTCTCTGACACACCTTTCCACTTCCCTCCATGGTAGCTTTTTTTATGACCAGGTTCAACTGGTCATCATCAGCTATTGGCGCCCATCACATTCTTTCTCATTTAGGTTATCAAGGTTCAGATTTCAACTTCGAAAAGTTTAGAAGCATCTGCATACTATTCGCTTAGAAACGGCTCTATGCCTTTGGATTGGTGAAGTTTTTAAGCTTAAACTCATGAAGCAAGTAGATGTGGGCTTTTACTTTGAGACTATACTTTCAAATGCTCTAAAGTTTTATGAATTTAATTTTGCACTAAAGTGTCAGTGTTTTTTTTTTGTTACATTACCGGGCTTGCAATGTATCATCTTGTATGGGTCGTAGCGCTTCGCCTATTCGATTTGTTTTCTAGCATCCATCATCTCCGATTGTGTCCCAACTTTTTCGTAGGAGTTTGGTTGTTGCTCAAGAGTTTTCGTATTCATCACGAACGTTGTTGACTGCTGCTTAAGTCAGTTTTCTCCGCAGTTCTGAGATAGCCGGGCTAGGGCATTTCTACGTGGACTGAAGAATGAGGTGTGATCTCGAACAACTCTGTTACTAATTTGCCGACTCGAGAGAAAGGAAGCTTAGTGGCGCCGAGGTGTGGTCGAACTAAGGCTTTGGTAGGTAGTGTGATTGTAGAAGCACCATCTTGTAGTAAAAGTATTTTCTATCATTATGTAAAAAATAAAAATTATGCGCCAGATTTTTGAACGAAATCTAATTTTTGAAATGGTATTTGGCAACAATGCCAGGAGTCATTACCGTCGTGGTATCCAACTAGTCGCATGGTGACAAATCTCCCTCTGATCCATAAGGGCGGCGACTACCTGTGGTGGTAAGACCTGGGGCAGACTTTGGCTAAGTTGACCTCGAGACTTAAGGAGGGAAACCACCGTAACTTAACCAACAAGACTCTGAAAAGTGGAAATTTTGCTGGTGCCCGCACAATAATGAGGTCGGGCCATCCAAGTATTTGGCAAGAATGTAACCAACCTCTACTGTAAAATTTTACTTTTCAAATCTCATGATGACGAAGACGACCATTGTTTCTTTTTCAACCAAATATCGTTCAGTGGTTCAAGGACCCGAATTTCATGAAACAAGTTCCTCTAAATGTTGTTTTTTATTTCAGGTTTTTTTTCGAGAGGACTATCTTCATTATCGTTCCTCCTCAATATATCGTTCCACATTTGCTGTGTGGTTCTCATTACTGGCCATCTTTTCACTATTAAAGTTTTGCTTAAAATGATTCGTCATATTGTGATGAAGGTACATTAATTTAGTTTTATTGGATTGTTTAAGTTTTAAACCACCAATCCTAACCCATTATGCAGGTCCCATCACTTCGTTCATTGTTTTTAGTCTTACAGCCATCATCAGCGTGCTATTTGGGTTAACTATGGGTTGCACTGCAACGTGTACATCTGTGTTTAAATTGCGCTTACTACGAGTTTGATGAAGATTGTGAATACGGCTAACGTTCCGACGTCTTCGTCTTCATTGGAGCTGATGATCTGAGTCGATGGTCCACAGTTGTTCTTCTTCTCATCTATCTTTGACAGACACATTTATGTGTGATGTTCATATAACCCCAAAATACCTGCGCTAGTGCACGATGTCTTTTCCGCAAGCAGTCACCGGCCTTATGATTCATGTGGAATTTTGTTGCCTTCCATCGCAGATTCTCCCAGAATAGAGGTGAATCTTGTGATAACTCTAAAAACCGACTTTCTGTAAACCTCGGCATGAATAATCGACGTATTTATTTATATGTTCTTACGAACAGATCTTGTTGAGCTTATGCGAGGTTGATATAGTTGTCGTTGCTGTTTTTGTCGTTGTCGTTGTTGTTGCTGTTGTTGTAGGTCCATGGCTGATGTTTCGGCGATTCCGCCTTCCACCGAGCCGTGCTGTTACGAGTACGACTTTAGTACTTTAGTAGGAGTGAGAGAATCCCACTCGCAACCGCACGGCTCTGAGGAAAGTGAAATCGCCGAAACGTCAGCTATCGGCCAACAGCAGCAACAACGACGACCATACCAGCCTCGCATAAGCTCAATAAGATCAATTCATAAGAACATATTAATAAATGTTTGGAATCCTGTGATAATTCGACTTAACACTCTAAAGAGATATAGTTGGCAGAATGTTTCGCTCTTAGAAAGAAAAGCTGTGGTAGTCTATGCAGTTTATTGATCATGAGGTGTTTGGATGTTGCGTTTTCCCTGTTCTGATAACGTTACACTTTTCGTCCCATTCAAAATTTGAAGGGAATCCAAATGCTATTCGGTTCTTATGAGCCTTTTTCGGCATTACTGGTTAACGTGACGTTGAAATGACTTGCGAATGGAAATAAGAGGCGCGTTCAGATACGCGGTTTGATGACATCATTCGGTCAGTATAGGTTCAGTTCAATGGCATACATTGAGTAGCATTCATAAAGAACTCCAAAACTCATCAAGCAGCAGCTTAACCCGCGCCCCAATGAAGAAGTGCGGGTGTTTGTACAATACGTCGTGCCCACTCATGTTAAAGTAAAAAAAATTGCAGGGAGCTTTCTTGCTTTCCTTCTTTCTAATTTTTGAGTGTTACTATTGTTCTTTTTTTGAAAACAGTTTCATTTCCCATTAGAATTTTCGTATTTTAGCCCATATGTTTCCCGTTACCTCCACCGTTTCTTGTGCATACACCTACTCCAGAGCAGACACGAACGCTTGTTGTCGCTCTTGGTAGTGAAGATGCTTTATTAAAGGTATGTTATGAGGGTCTTTTCTATTTTCCCGATTTGCAGTTAGTCATTTGCTTCTGTTAATTTGAACGTAATATTGAGTAGCCTAGTAACGTAGTTTATAATTGATGTAGTTGTTTGCTTTCGCCGACCTACGTCGTATAGCCTGGGCAGATCTTAACCGCCGCTTGGAGGTGTTTTCACTTAGTCAACCAGGTACGTCGATTGGTTTCTTGTTTACGCGAATAACCATTCTGCGTTTTAGGCGGACATCCTCGTAATTGGTCTAATGTTTCCACTGCGTGTTTCAGCATTCTAGAGAGAGTTCGCGATCAACTCGAGGTATGTAGCCTTGGTGGCGAATCGAATACTTCACGGGCTTTTCGTTTATTACGCGTTAGAAAAACTTTGGTTTCTTGTCTCCTCGATCTTTCAACACGGTGGTGTTAACAGACCCTTTGCTTTGCCTGACATTTCTATGGATTTCGCCATCTTCAGAGTCCGAAGGATTATGTTGGCATACGACTTGCTCATGGTGCGCATGGCGCAGTGTTCGTAGACGCACTGCCATACACGTATCGCATCAATTCCTGCTCCCCAGGTCCACCAAGCCCTGCATCGCTCTAGAGTCGGAAAATTGGTCCCAGACTTGTCTAAGAAGATAACAGCACTGGGTCGGCACATCGGTAGGTCACCGAGGGTCGTTGTGAAGGTCAAATGTGCATTACGTCACTAACAATGCTTAATGAAGTCGAATGCATCGCACATACCTCAGCGATTGACCAATACCGAGAGCTTTATCCTTTTTTAACCCTTTACCATTTGCTCGATCAACTTTTCAGTATTATTCCTTTTTATTTTCGACGACTTGGAACCGCATATGTTGTACAGTTCCTAGCACTTGTTGTATTCGATTCGTGTCCTTCAATTCATAGTTCACGGAATATTTCGAAATTTTGCGTGTGGTCTCCGCTATTGCTTGAGGATATTTGGTTGTTTTGAAGAATATAATTGGATATTGGTCGAGTCCATTCTCCCTAGAATTCTGTGATAGTCGTGTTGGAGCTTTCTTGTATTCATCGTAGACATTCACCACGTCTTGCCGATTAGAGGGAGAAAATTGGTCCGAGACTAGTCCGATACCCACTTCCCAATTCCGATTCATATGGTGAGCCAGGTTAGTTAGCTTGATAGTAGTGGAGCACTACGCATATTGGACGGCATCGTTACCTCTGTGCTACGCACACCCTTCAGTGTTCTGTATTGTATTGTATTGACTAAATCTTTAGCGGTTTTTAACAGGGATAGAGGATCAAGTATCGTGAATTATTGTTGACCGAGTAGTTGGCTTCATGTTGCATTTAAAACCTTGTATGGACTGACCAGTATTGGTTTTTGTTCCAGAAGCACGAAAGTCTCGAATGAACTACTTCCATTTGTGAAAAACAGAAGACTTTATTTACTTGTTCAGCATTATTATTCGTATTTTCGAAACCTTTTCATTGATCGATTTTCCCAAAATCACTATTGAAAATGTGTCCCCTGTGCATAATATGGAGAAAAGTGTAAAATAAATCGTTCGGCGTTGACCAATCCCTTATAAATACCCCGTTCGGCTTCAGAAGGCCGAAAGGAAGTATATGGTTGTTTGAGCTACGAAATGACTGATCGTACCTTGCTGATGTATCAAGTCGGTGGCTTTATAACTTCGACTAGTCAAGCAGCAACTTATCATGAATATGGTTTACCAAAGGTGCGGAATCGAGCAACAACGGTGTCGGTATTGCAGAGCACGTCTAACCATTGCGCTACCCTGGACTCCGACTGTATTGTAAATATATGACGGCTGAGTGAATCGAAATAATGGGCTACAGGCATAATGAACTAATGAAATAATGAACTACAGGAAATATCCAAAAAATCGGCTGGCTTTCTATGCTCAACACCTTGGAGAGCGCTCAGTATCACGGCACTCGCGGGAAATCCACTCGTCCAGTGTACACAAAGCAATGAGTGAAAAATGTAACAAACTTAAGCTACAGCCGTATCCACGCCTCATTCGTATAGAATTCGCTTGAAAGACAACGAAACTTTACGAAGGAACTGCTACTAGAACACCATTAGATGGTCCGTCATCTAAGTATCACGGTTTGGAATCGTAACGAGTTTTGGAAATGCAGCCGATATTTCATAGTGTGAATCTCATAGGAATCCTTGTTTCAAAATTTCTAAGGGAACAACTAGATCACTAAAACATTTTCAAAGCATCACGTTTGAAACAGAGAAACAATCCTTATCCCTACATAATATTAAGTTTTATTTTAACGTGTTTTGAAGATGGCTTCAACTCGAATTGCGGCGGGAAGTGGGTTTGATAAGGGTGCCGGTGATATATCAGAAGATGAGTTTGAAGAGTTAGATCGGGAAATGCTTATGATGCCACATAAGTCAAGAAGGCAACGTGGGTTCTTATTAACATCTGGAAAGTTTTTTCAGTATAGTTGTTTTTTTATTGTTGACATATATCAAGTTTCAGTTTACTCCTCAGCTGTCCGTCGACGTCATGGTGCTTGCATTAAAACAGTTCCTCGTGCTGAATTCGTTGACCATGAAAATATTATCAGGTGAATGAATACTTAATTTTTGGTACATATACAAATAAATACATAATTATATATATATATATATATATATATATATATATATATATATAATGAGTCCTCTCAACGGTTTATCGCCTCATCGTGGCTAGGACGTGTTCTTGGGTGTCCGGCTGCGATGTATAGCAGGGGATTCATCCCCTGGCAGGGTTTCCCAAGCTGAGGAGTCCGGCGTTTCCATCAGGAAGCCCAGCTGAGAGTAAACTGATACCAGCATCCGTCACAGTCCTGGTACCCAACTGGTCTCATGGCGGCAAACCTCCCCTGATTCACAAAGGCGGCGACTGCCTGTGGTGGTGACGACCTGGCGCGGACTTTGTTTGGCCTGGTTGACCTCGGGACTACGGGGAACCACAATGGCTAAACCAGCAGTATTCCAAAAAATGGAGATTATGCTGACGTCCGCACAACTAGCGAGGTTGGACCACCAAAGTGTCGAATTGTAAATAATGCATATACATGTGCATGGTAAAATATATACATGGTGAATACATAATTTTGGAAATTTAGGTTGAAAAATTACTTTTGGTCCTTATCTTGTCAAGTAGTCATAGTGTCACGCTATGATTCTAATATCGCTATATTGGCTATTGAAAGTGAGTATTCTGTTGTTCTTCTCTGTGAAATTAGAGCTATTGTAATCTCACATTGTGCATTGAAGTAGTTTGGGTCGTATACACACCTGATTTCCTAGGTCTGTATATGTTTGCGGTTCAGTCGTATCGTGAGGATCGTTATGGAGTTGTGTTGAAAGACCTACCACGAATCATAGGTCTAATGGTGCAACTCATACAAGCTATTGACAAATTCTTCCGTGTTAGAGCTGTTCGTATGGTTGTGATTGGTTTTTATTTCATTTTTATCTGAAGTTTTATTTTTCGCAATCGTTAGATGAAATGGCTGCAGTAGTTACCTAATCAAGGAGGAATTTCAGAATCAGACACCGCCTCCGTTTGCCGAAACAGATTTAAAACAAATTGATTCTGCACTGCAAGCTGGATTATTGCGCATAAACGGAACATTCGGCGGTCATTTCGGGTGGGTTTAATAGGCCTTAGTTGCGATGAGAAGTTATTTCTTTATATTCCTAAGTAACCATTAGAATAAGAAAGTTAATCTGATGAAGGAGTTTTTTTGAAACTCGTGTTTAAATGGGTACAATGCTTATACACAAAATATATAGTTGATTATCTTTTTTGCTGCTTTCACTTATCCTTTTCAGCGAGTTGAATCTTACGCATGAACAGCTACAAACGATTAGAATGGTCTGTCAATCAGATACATAATTTATGCGGGTGTATTCTTCATTCATTTCATCTTCTTTGCTAACTATACTCTTGTTTCTGCCAGAACTTTTTTCTATATATA